TGGCAAAAAAAAATAATTTTATGTGGAATAGATAAAATTAAAAGACAAAATGGTTGGAGGGACGCCGTGAAACAAGGATTTAAAATATTGTGACCTAAAAAACCTTAAGTCGGTATAGTAAAGCAAAATACAAATAAAAGTTGCTTTGTGAAGAATGTTTCTGCTACCAAGTTTATTCTGAGTACTTTGAAATAGATGTATGAACATTGATTTTATTATTTTGTGATATGATAATCTTTACAAAAGAAAAAAAAAACTTGAATACTTTAAATCGAAAATCAAATTTTGTACAAAATGTCAAATTCAAACTTACGATCTTTGTAATTGATTCATCTCAAACATTTTAACAGGTACTTTTAAAAAATATGCTAGCTCACAGAACCTTGCATTTATCAATTTCATGCCATTTGTGTGAAGTTTGCATAATTGACAACCTAAAAACTTCAAATAATGATCGATGCTTCTATGAGAACATTATTCATTTTCTATTTTGAATGTTATTGCTCCTTCCTGTGATTCCTGCAAATGAAGATCGCCATAGTTCTCTGAGGGAAAATCCATGTCTAAAATATCGATAGAGGTGTATACCAAATGCCCAACTGAATCCATGAATAAATGGAATCAACATCTGTTGGTGTATAATGGTCAATATGCTAAAGTCCTGTTGAAAGTCAATATCACCCCTGCTGTTGTTAATCTGTGGATGCCTGAGGAAGATATCGGGTATGCTCACTATGTTAGAATTTAACAATGACGGTATTCTTTCCGAGTGTTCTGAATGTGCATAAATTGAAGAAATTGTAGGACTCATAGGTACATCCATAGCATCAGAACGTGATAGTATAGGAGTTAAATAAGTTCTACCTTCATCATCTTCGTATCCATCGTGACTAATACTCAGGGGCGCGAGAATTTGTGACTGAGAGTCACCAGATGAATATAGCGTAGATCCTTCAGCTTCTATTCCTTCGTGAAACGAATTGGTAGGAGAAATATTTGCAAGCACATAAGAATCCGACACATCACCAGTAGGTAACGACTCCATGCTGACTTCTGAATTTTGCGAGGGCGACGGTGGCGTGTAAATATCTTCGGCTGTAATTATTGTCACACCGGAATCATCACCCATGTTCAATGAATTTTCGGACCCTGAATTGGTATTTATGGACTTTACCATGTAATCGCTATCTTCTCCGTCATCCGGATGTTGCACAAAGAACAACTGGTCTTGCTCATACCGATTTTCTGAAGAACCTAAATGTTCATCATCTTCAAATTGTTCGGATTCATCTGAATAATGTTCTTCTGTAGCATTTCGCGTTTCTGTAAAAACATGTGACATTACTTGTTGCGCTGTTGTTAAGTTTATATCTGTAACTTCATTGTCCTTGGGTTGGGGTGTTTCCTGCTGAGAATCTATTAGATTTAACTTGTTGCTTGCTTCAACATTAGGTCGAGAGACCGAATGTTCAAGCTCTGACTTAACGGTGTCTTCTAAAACATTTTCTGAATTTAACTGTCCCGCATTAGATATTTGATCGGATTTATCTGTTATCGAACCTGTAAAATTGTCAGGTAGTGAGTTTAAATTAGAGCGGTCGGAATCGCTGCCTTTAGATTCCTGAGCAGACTCTTGAGAATCATAAGAGCCGTCCATGCTTAAAAACGTAAGCGTGAGTATGTAATTTATAACGATACGCACATATCACGTGATTACACACGTATAAGTATCAGCAAAAGTTCGGCAATCTTTATCCTCGTATACTTTGCAATAATGTCTGAAAGCTATGATATTGACATAAACACTGGCGTTGACGATGATGACGCTATGATGGTTGATGAAGGTATTTCGCGCTAAACTTAATGTTGAATAAGAAACATATCTTCTTCTATGCCCTCCAACGTTTATTATATTGTTAAAGGATAATAGGCTGAAAGCATGCGATTTACTTGGGATAAACTTCTGATTCTTCCCTCTTATAACACATGCTTCAGTAAACAATTGATAAAGCACAAATTGTTTGTTCTGGATTTTGCTAACGAATATTTTCATCAATAATTTTTCCAAGATACTAGGCCGGCAGCCGCAATCAAACGCAAGGGTCGAGGGTTTAGAAGTGAATCGAAAGGTAAAAGTAATGATGCATTTTGTTTATCATCCGATCATTTTCTAAAACTCATTTTCGCTAAAGAATCCAGGGATGGTGTTAGGTCAGGTGACAAGTATGATCAATTCGAATCCACTGTTGAAGAAGACGTCTCCACCGGACGCGCCCAGAGATGTATTTATCACAATACTCGAGTATTTTTTAGTGCGGCTTTAATTTACATTTAGTCATAAAATGCTTTATCATATTACGACAAATAGCTGTTGAAGGGTGGATCGTTTTAGTAGTGGGGCTTCACGAAGAATCAACGGAAGACGAAATTACCGATAAATTCGCCGATTTCGGCGAAATAAAAAA